AGTGGGGAAACAAGCTGCATATTGCGAGGGGTGGGAGGAAATTGGTTAGAGCGCAGACGAACTGGCTCTGCTGCTCCATGGTCAGGGCGGCTTACCAGGGACGGAGGTATTGCGCCCGTGCTTCGTTGCGGACTGAAGAGGTTGCATGTGCCAGACGAAGATGGAAGAAACCCACCTACAAAAGACTCATCGACTACAAAACTAAACCACCGAGCCTGGAGAACAAATCCATTGTTCGGAATGGTTAAAAATAAAAAACCCTACAGACAAATTCACTAAAGAGGATTGTGAGCACATGAGTGTGCACACATCTTGGTGCGCCCTGCCGTTCGTCTATCCTTAACCCACAGCGGGCTCAGCACATTAGAAGTGGTTAATTATTCAGTCATTTTAGAAGGTGAGCTGACAAACTTGCCTGTTTTTATCATATGTGAAGTTATAGGAGAAAGTGAAGCTTTCGTTGCATCCTATAAAACAGCAGAATTACTTTGGGCAATCTCATTGGATAATGTGTCATCTTTTTAGAGTTTTCAACAACTCGTTGGTGCGTTTATTGCTCTTTCAGAGGATTTTTCTATGGAGGATATGAGTGTAAAGTCAAGGAACTATTACTTATCTTTTAATTGATCACTATGTAGAAAATCCGTAAATATTTTTTAGACGTTTTTTCTCAAATTTTACTTCAAGCCTGTAGGAGTAAAATAAAATTAAAGGAATTATTATTAAAGGACACACTAGCTGAGAAGTCGCGTGTTCCAGGTGGTAGGCAAAACTACTAAACATAGGGGTAAGTCCATGCCTAAACATTAACACTAACACGCATATTGCACAGAGTATGTTAGGTCCCTGCAGCTTCGGAAGGTGCAAACATACCCTTGGATACCTAGCCATAGTGTGAGCTGAAGCACTATGCATGAGAGCAGGTGTTGAGATGAACTTGTTGAGAATTGAAGAACATATATAAGATATATTCATATAGTGGATTTCAGAAACTACGAGCAAAATCTGCATTGGAACGTAGCAAGATGGGTGACACTGACATTGAAGTGTTGTTTACTAAAGCGAGGATGTCCTACTCCCCGTATAACACAAGGAAAAAGTATGCCCTGGGAATTACAACACTCTTCCGACTTTACTAAAGGATCCTTTTCTCCAAAGGGCTATGTAAGTTGTGTGGTTGTAGTGTGTGCTGTTGTTTTTAAAAAAAATAAAAAGAAAAAAAAGATTACTTCACAGATAAACACACGATTTTATTGAGCAGTGGTTTTTGGGGATTTTAGGTTTCAAATGATGGCTTGACACAGATACTTATCGAAAATAGTGTGACATTCCATACGCTTGCTTTCATTTTTGTAAAAAACAATTTGACACCACCTATAGTTAACAAAATATGTTAGAGTCTTGAGCTTTACTAGTTTCAACTATTGTCTGAACAAAGTTCCCCTCTGCTGTAGAAGATTGTCATTAGGGATTCAAAAAAAAAGACTTTTGTATGATGGTGTTTTATAAAATTATCTTAAACAGGAGGACTTTCTATGATGCGGGTAGAAAGGCCACTGATATTTAGCATGGCCGCTCTTCAGAACTATGTCCAGGCAATACAGTAAAAAGACCGGCTAAGAACAGCTACAGTGCTCAAGCACCAAGGACTCAAAGCGACTAGAGACTGGCCGCCCACTTTGCCTGAGTCAGACTTGATGGGAATGCTGCAGAGAAGCCGTATCATTTTCTCATTCCACCTCTCCAGGATGAGCAGCAAGGTGTGTTTCAGAAGATGAAGATGACCTTTCAATATCGCCAAGACCTAGTGCATGACCCACAGAGAACCACAGATGTCTTTAAAACATTTCCACGGTTTTTAGATGTCAAAGGGCTGGTGAGTTGTCCATTTCATTTATTTACCCTTCATTGTTTTGTTGCTTGAATGTGAGTACAATTCTCTGATCTTTTTGAATCTAGTTTATTTACATGCTTATATGATCAACAGCTGAATCAAGACTTCCTTCTGTTGTTTGGACCTGAAACGGCCTCCAAGATGCTTGAGAAGTGGGACACGACATTCAGGCCCAAGGTCATCAATGAGGCCAAACACCTAACTCAGTCAGTTGAGCTGTGCCGACTTCTAAAAGCTGCTGAGAAACTGGCAGAGAACGATGACACCGGTAAGCTAATTGACATGATTGATTGATTTTTATTCCTAACAACAAGTACTTGTTACTTTGTGCGTTCTAACTTAATATGGCTTGTTTCACCCCATTTCCTCCTGATAGCCTGGGACAGTCATATGGCTTCTCTGCTGCTCCTTCTCCATCTCCTGCCACCCACAGCTGGACGGAAGAGGACCAAGATAAGCCCCAGTGATGCAGTGGACAAAATGTTGCACTTTCACAAGGTATCTTTTTTTAATCCATAGCTAGTATTTTATGTGTATTAACTCAACACACACACACACACACACACACACTCACTTTGTCGTGGCTTGTTTAACAACTGATGTGTTTCTGGTGTACAGATCCAAGTGAGCAGTTAAAACCTGACAGTGTAAGGTGTTATCTTTCTGTTTTCAGTCATGCTGCAGCTTGGATGAACACCTTCGCGGAAGAGATGGCAGACAACCATACATCCTTGCTGTTGGTCGAACCAGGAACAGGATTGACACCTTCTACATTGTTGTGGACAAACAGCTCATCCCATGCCAAGCCACTAGCTCTTTGGGTGCATTTGATGAACTGTTTAAATCCCACTACGTGTTCAACCTGTCATACGATGAGTACCTGGGCCAGCTCTTCACCTTCGTGCAAACAACAGTCTACAATATTGATGTAGCAACAACAAATGAGTCTCCCAGAGTTCGTGAGTTTCCTTGCAACTAACTGGGTTACAATCAGTGGGACAGAGTACAGGGCAGGACTAATAATTTGCAGTGAGATTCAACATGACATGCCTGTGTTTTGCAGAATAGAAAAAAATTTTGTTGTCGACAGTGTTATCTGCTTCCTTGTAAATAAGCTTGTCGTTGACCATTTCAATGAACATTTTCATGCTTACAAAGTATTTGAAAGTAATGACAAAGATGTTGTTAAAGCAGATAGTCTTGTGATTTATAATCCCTTTGATTTACAAAGTGCTTACGGTGGAGATGAGAGCCAATATATTGTGCCATTGTTTTATCTGTAAATGTTTAACTTGTGCCTGATCTTATTGTGCTAATTCCTATGGTGCTGGGAAGTTATTTATTTTTTTGAATAAAAAAAAAACAAAACAAAAAGACATGTATGTTTGAATGATGTTATTACTTGATCACTGTTGCTGGTCAACACATTTGAATTTATAATAACTTTCTGTAGCCTTGCAGGTGACTACAATAATTTTCAGATTTGGTTACTTGTATGTACGGCTAGT